GCGCGGCCGACGCTGCGCTCCTGCAGCCGCTGCAGCTGGACGCGGGCGTGGCCCAGGCGCTGCGCGTCCGTGCGGCCGGCGACGCGAACGCGGCACACGCCGCGTACGCCGCGAAGTTGCACTTCCTGGAGACGCGCCTCTCGCGCTGCGCGGCGGCAGCCTGCGCTCCGGCTGCAGCAGCTGCCGCGGAGGCAGCCATCGCGTCTGAGACGCTCGCGGCGGCCGCCGTCGTGTTGCACGACGCCGCCGCGCTGTGGACTGCGGCGTTCGGCAGCGGCGCTCGGCAGTTTGCGCTACGTGCGCTGCAGCAACTCTGCGCAGCAGCCAGTGCGCGACTCGCGCCGCTGGCGCTGTGGAAGCGGTTGCGAGCCGCGCCGCCGCTGCCAAGCGCCGCCAGCGAAGAACTCGTGTTCCTCGCGCTGCTGTCGGCGCCGCTGCTCGCGCTGACGCCGCGCGGCGTGCGCGACGTGCTGGACCTCGTCTCGCAGTGCCCATTGCCGCGCGTGCGCCGCTGTGCGCAGTACGTCCTCTCGCTCCTGCTCGCGCAGCTCGTCCAACTGCTGCGCGAGCTCGGCGTGCCGGCGGCGGACTGCGACGCGGCCGCAGCCAGCGCCGCGCGCCTGACCGCGTCACTCGCGGCCGCGGCGCGCCAGCAAAGCGAGTGGTGCGAGGCCGCGCTGCAGCCGGCGCGCGCGAACAACGCGCCGCAGCGCCCCGCCGCCTGGTGCGACCTGACGTTCTGCGTGGTCGAGGGCGCGTACGCGCTGCTCGCCGAGCTGCACAGCGACGCAGGCGAGCTTCCGGAGCTCGCCGCGCTGCTGCGCCGCCTGCGCGGCGTGACGCTCGAGTGCGTCGCGCGCGGCGTGGAGGCGGACCTGCGCGCGGGCATGGTACCGCGCGCTTTCGCGTCGCAGCTGCTGCGCAGCGCGCCGCCCGCCGCGAAGAACGCCGCCGCGCTGCCAACGCTGGCGGGCCTGCACGAGTGCAAAAAACTGGTGAACGACTTCACGAACTTGATGTTCGTGAGTCCGGCTTACTGCGGCGCGCTTGCGCGCGCCATCCACCGCTGCGAGCCGCGCAGCCGACACGACGTGGCGAAATTTATAGCGGAAAAAATCGCGCAGACAAATGTGCCGCACGACAAGGTAGACAGCGCCTGCGGCACCGTTGTGTTTTCGGCGAAGAATAATTATTTTTTTTCTACCGAAACAGAATGAGAATTTGTTCTTTGCCTCGCAACTTCGCATCCGACTGTCAGTTCGTGAGCTGCGCGCTCGTGTTGCCAGGTCTCGCTGAGACTGTAACGCCCCAGAGCGCGACGGAACCGGCTGCGGAAGTGAAGAATGCGGCGACTGCGTACGCAGTGCGAGACGTGAAGGCGCCGCAGTCGACCGAGAAGGGCGACTGGGCCAAGTCGCTGCCGCCGCGGCTAAACAAAGACGCGCCGCCAACTCACGAAGAATGGATGAACATTTACAGCGTCCCCATCGCGCAGTTGTCGCTGCTGGACTACCCCTCACTACTTGTCTCGCCGACATACGCCACGATGCGCGAGTCTTCGCAGCACGCTTGGAAGCTGTACTGCGCGACGTTGGACCCGATCGCCTCGCCAATCAAACCGAAAAATTTCGGCGACGGCAAGCGAATCAGAGCGGCGTTAAACAATTTGAAGGAGAAGCGTTGGAGCTTTTTCCACAAATTTTCGCCGAAACCCAGCTCTGCGTCGTCCGACGCGCGCGCGGCCAAGTACTGTGAACTCAGCAGATTCGCGAGCTTCCAAGCCACCGAGAAGTTGTTTTTCACGCTGTTCCACTTCTTCCTGACCGAACGCATTTCGGCCGAGCAGTACGTCGAAATGTGCAGCAAGCTCACGGACAAGCTATACGACTTCAACCGCTTCACAGAGCACTGCAAAGCGCTGAAGGCTGTGACGACGGAAGACCCGACTAAACCCGGCGTCTGCAAATTCGACGAACACATCGCCGCGATTGCCTACTTCCTGAAGCAGTCCGCGGACGTCTTCTTGCTGCGCGACTACTTGAGCGGGAAAATTGCCAAGTTCGGCAAAGACCGCAACGCAATTTACGGCGCTTTGGAGAAGAGCATTAACAAATTGGGCTCTACGGACAGTCTCTCGAGCCCCGCCAGCCTGCACGCTTGGCGCAGAGCGTACGCGCGCCTGTACAAAATTTTGACCGACATGAGTTCTTCGGAAGTGAAATACTCCTCGCATCGCGTCGCTGACCACTTGTTGAAAGACCGGCGCGTCCGCAGCGCCCTATACTCGCATCCAGTCTTTTCGCCGTTCGTCAACGTCGACTACGATCTCGACGAGCAGAGCGCCGAAGCTGAAGACGAAGTGGATTGAGCTGGAGTTTTTGTAGTTGACGGCTAGTCAAGTGACGCATCGCTGAAGGGGTTGTGTTAACGCGATATTTTATTTTATTTTGTACAGTTCATCTCAATGGAGCTGTTCGCAGCTAAGCTCGGGACAGCGCGCCGCGTGTTTCTGCAGCGCAGCGCGCAGGCAAACTGCCGCGCGGATGGCAGAACGGCGGCTTCGCTGCGCCGCGTGCAGTGCCGCGCGCTCGACGCGGACGGCGCGCTGGCGCACTGCCGGCTCTCCAACGGCGAAAGCGACGTCAGTGTGGAGGTGCGCTGCGAGCTGAGTCTGAATTGCGTTGCGCCACGCGTTTTCGTGAATGTGCAACTGCTCTGTGCGGTCGGCGCGGACGACGCGGCGAGCGAACTCGCGGGTGCCGCGCTCGCAGCCCGGCTGCACCGGCTGCTGTTCGCGCGCGCGGAAGCGCGCAGCGCGGCGCGCGCGAGCCCCTGCTGGCACTACGTGGTGCAGTTCACCGTCCGCGCAGTCGGCGGCGCGCTGCTGAGCCTGTGCTCGTTCGCCGCGTACCTCGCCTTCCGCGTAGCGCGACAGCCCAGTTTGAGCGCGCTCGCGCTGCGCGAAGGCGCCGCGGCCAACGCGGCGGACGCGCTCGCGAGCGCGACGGCGCTCGGCCAGCTGAGCGCTGTGGTCGCGAAGCTCTCGCCGCTGCAGCGCTGGGCCTTCGAGCCCGTCCCGCTGGCCGTGCACGTGCCGCTTTTGCTCTGCTTCGCGACCGTTGTCGGGAACGTGTGCGCCGACCCGAGCTTTGATGAGGAACTGGCCGCCGAGGCGGCGCACTGCGTCGCGGTCACAGCCGACGGCGAAGTTTGCGGCATGCGCAGCGTAGGTCGCTTCGTCGAGTCTGCCCAAACCTTCTGCCAGCTCGGCTCGCAGGCGCGAACGCTCGCCGCCGAAATTTGTAACGCGCTTAATGATTATGCGACTCGAAAATTCGCCAATACGAATTTCGCAAATAGCGCGAGCGCCTAACGCCACCATAGCCGCGCACACCACAACATGTCAGCCCAGGCTAAGCAGCCCCGCGCGTCAGACTATGGCAGCCGCGTGCGCAAGCGGAGGAGCAATTTCGCAAGTAATTTGACGGTCGAGGAATCGCTCTCGAACGCCAAGGCGCGCAAGTTGGCGAAGGAACAAGACAAACGCTTCAAAGACCCGGAGTTCGAGACGCGCAAGCGCCGCGGCGCGCTCTACAGCGAGCTGCTGCGCGCCGCGTGTGACGCCGCCGCGCTCGAACCGCGCCTCGACGCAGCGCTTGACGCGCTCTTTCCGCCAGGCGCGCTCGCACTCGAGTCGGCCGAGATGCGCGAGACGCACGCGAAGCTGCTCTGCGACAGCGTCGTCAGCCGCATCCTGCAGTTCGTGGTGAAGCACGGCAGCGCGGCGCAACTTGACCGACTCTTCGCCGCCGTGCGACCCGTGTGGGGCGCGGTTGCGAAAAACGTCATCGGCGCACACGTCCTCGTCAAGCTCGCGAAGAGACTCAGGAACGACAAGCCGCGCTTCGCCGAGCTCGTTGCCCTGTCGGCGCAAGACGAAAAGCTGTTTTTTTGTAAAGCCGGCGCAAAGACCGTCGAGGCGCTGTGCCTTGCGTGCAGCAGCGCGAAAGTGCTCCGCACGTTCGTGAATCGGCTGTTCTTCGAAAAAATTTTCTCCGCGCTCGGGCCCGAGGTCGAACAGCGCTCGATCGAAGACAATCTCGCCGCGCTCGACGACAAATTGCGCTCCGTCCTGCGCAACCGAGTTGAGTTTTTCGTGAACAAAATCGTTGACAAGGAACTGGTAGGCAACGTAGTTTCGCTAAAGTATCTGCAGATCCTGCTGCGCGCGCCGCGCGCGCTCGACGCAGCCTCGCTCGACGCGCTAAAACTCAATCTTTTCGAAGCCTCACTCGAACTGCTGAAGTTCAAAACGGGCGTCGAGATCTTGAGTCACCTGTGCGGGCGCTGGACTCCCAAAGAGAAGAAGAAGTTTTGCCATGACTTCGCGAAGGCGCTAAAACTCAACGAGCTCGCGCTCGCAAGTTACTACGCGAACGAGGTGCAGTTCCCGTTCCTGCTGCGACTCGCTTGCTGCATAGACGACGCGAAGCTGCGCACCAGGTATCTGCTTGCGCCGCTTGCGCAGGCCGCGCCGGACGCGCCAGAGCTGCTTGCGAAGTTAGTTAGGTTCCTCGAGGTGATCGCGCTCGATCGCAAAGGGCTTAACTCGTACGTGCTCGAACTGATCAGATTGCCCAGCCCGAAAACGCTAAAACCGCGCTCGACGATTTGCTTAGAAATCGCTGAGGCGCTGCTCGCCGAGTTGAACAACGCGGCCCAGCAGCCAGAGCTCGCGGAATTCGTCAAGCGCTTGCGCGCACTCCGCGATCAGTTGACCGAGCCGACCAGCGTCCCGGCAGACTTGCCAGAAGACGCAGCGGAGACCACGGAAGAAGCATGCATGTTTCAAGAAGAAACTGGTTCGAGCGAAGCGATTCGCGACACGGAAGATTCGGACGAGTTTGTAAGTCCAGACGAGAGTTGATCGACGTAAATATTAATTAGTTAGTGTCGCGACAATACAAATTAAATTTCGATTTAGTCGTCCCTTGCCAAACATGGTTCTGGTCACTGTAAGAAAAACTCCTGCGTATTTTTCGCGCTACCAAGTGAAGAAGCGCAGAAGGCGCGAGGGCAAAACTGACTACCAACAGCGCACGCGCTTGGTGAAGCAGGACCTCGACAAGTACCAAGCCAAGAAGTATCGCTTTGTTGTGCGGTTTACCAACAACCGTGTTCTTTGCCAAGTGGCGTACTCGACGATTATGGGCGACGTAATGATGTGCAGCGCTGACTCGACAGAGCTCGTGGGCTTTGGCATGCCGGTTGGACTCACCAACTACGCCGCTGCGTACGCGACTGGCTTGCTGTGCGCGCGTCGCTGTCTCGAGAAACTCGGGTTGAGCAGCTCTATTCAGGGTAAAGTTCGCGCGGATGGAGAGCTCTACTCCGTTGACGACGAAGACCTTGAGCGCCGCCCGTTCACTGCGGTGCTCGACGTCGGGCTCGTGCGCACCACCACGGGCGCTCGCGTGTTCGGCGCACTCAAGGGCGCGCTTGACGGAGGACTTTCGATTCCGCACTCTGAGAAGCGCTTCCCCGGCTACTCGAAGGACGAGAGCGGTGAGGGCTCTTACGACTCTGCGGCCCACCGCGATCGCATCTTTGGCAAGCACGTTGCGAACTACATGCAGCTGCTTGAGCAGGAGGACTCTGAGAAGTACGCTAAGCTGTTCTCGCGCTACATCGCTGCCGGCATCAACGCTGCGAATTTGGAAGAGAAGTACAGAGCGTTGCACGATGCGATTCGCAGCAATCCGCTGAAGGCCGAAAAGAAGCCTGCTGTCGTGTACAAGTATGAGCGTGACAACCACCACATCGTAATTCGCAAGCCGGACGGCTCCACGCAGCGCGTGTACCGTCCGCGCAAGCTGTCCTCCGCCGAGCGCGCGGTCCGAGTGCAGGCGAAGATCGAAAGGTTTGCTGAACTCGCGGCCGCCGCAATGGAAGAGTAACTGCTAAGCGGGGATTGCAGTGGCGACTGTCGGAGTTTCATCCGACTGCGCGTCCACTGTTCTGCCGTACAGTACACTCTGCAGCGTCTGCAGCACTATCTTGTTCAACGACCCCTTCGTTGTGCCGAGCAGATTTGTCAGCGTGCTGCGCAAGTTGTAACGCTCAATAATTATATCGCTATTTTCGCTGTACTTCGCGAAGCTTTGCAAGTCGTAGAGAGCCAGCAAGTGGACTTTCGACTCCGCTGGGCGCTGCAGCAACTGCACGAGCAGACGCACGGCAGCGAAGTCGTCTTGCGCAAACAACTTGTAGTTTAATTTCCAAAAGGTTTCTGTGTGAACGATGCCGTCGAGCAAAAGCCCGTTCTGCAGCTCGTGCATGTACTTGTCGTAAAGATGGTTGCTGCTTACGGCGTCCGAGAACTGCTGATCCAGCTCGCGCAACGTGCCTGGTAACTCTTCATCTTTCCACTTTTCATGCTGCAGCAAACTGTACGTGCGATCAATACGTTTTAGCAGCAAAATTTCGAGTATCCATTCCACGCGCGCCAAATTTTTGAGTATAGCAGCATTGATGCGGACCAGTTTCTCGATGTTCGTGATTGTTAACACGCAGTTTATCCAGTAGCGAAGAACCGAGCGGTGGAAGTGGAAGATCTCGCCCTTCGCAAACAGCTCAGCGTCGAAACTGAGCATCCAGAGACACCAGCAAGCGTCGTATCTGGCGTGCAAATTCGAAGATTCCATCGCGCGCGCAATCAACGTCCGCACGTTGCTGCGCGCGGCAATGCGCTTTTTCTCGCTGTGCAGACGCAATAGATTGCTCACAATCCTTAACACACTCTCGGAAGAGCAATGTGTCAGCGCTGTGTTGATGCAGTGCTCCGACGCAGGCCCTAACTGAAATTCCTCGCTCTTAGAACATATGTACGGCAGCAAGTGCGACAGCCAGATACACAAATAAGTGTTGAGCTGCGTCACCAGCTCTTTGTACACGCTGAGACTGATCTTGATCCCTTTCATTGATTGCTCGTCTTTCGAAAGCGAGCGCTGCATAACCGCGTCTAACTCGTGTCCACTTCTGTCCTTCGAATTATACGCTTCGGCTTGAGAGCGCGTATCCGCGATCAGACAGAAGTAGATATTTCTGAGCAGCAGCGTGTCTCTGACCGACGAAGAGTTGCAATTGCATATAATTTCGAATTCTGCTGATGTGATGTACTTGGATAAGGCAATTATTTCTTCAATAAGACCAGCATCTGCCGTCAACGGCCAGCAGCTCGTGTCGCTGCGACAAGATTCGACGATGATATATACTGCACAAATTTTTTCAGGAAGAAACATGTCCGCTGTGCTGAACAGTTGTAGTCGAAGCTGTTTGAACGCGTCAATGTCTTTTATGATGCGCAATTGATCATCCTTAAGCAAGAAATCCGCATGCTTTAATTCGTAGTGCTTCGACTCGTGCATCATCGAAACGACATGATCAATTTCTACGCGGCTAATGGCTTCCGGCTGAAGACCGCATCGCGAGTCGAATAGATCTGCGGACTGCATATAATCTGCAATATTTAGGAGTCCCGGATATTCAGATTGAGCATTTTCCACAACACGAATTTAAATGCTGAAAAACTATCATGCGCGCAATGAATGCGTCGACACTCAACGCGCCTCGCTGCGTGAACGAGCGGGAAATTTCGTCTGGCGAATTAATAAGACATAACAGTGTTAAATACAGCACTAAATAAGTTATGGCCCTGTTTAAACGCTTTGTTGAAACCGGTCGTCTTGCTGTTTCCAGCAATGGGCCTCGCTGCGGAAGTGTAAGTGAGGGCGCGACAAACCGCAGCTCTTGGTAATTGTCAAGGCGCTGTGTAGCAACCGAGTTTTCGCGCAGTACGAAGACGGTTCGCGCGAAATCCTCTCTATTAACGGCATCGCACTCACCGACTTCAAATGCGACTTCAGCGAAGACGCCAGCGTCGCGGACGTGAAAGCAGTCGTCGAGAAGAGCAAGCTGTACGATCAATGGAGGAACTCCACTTGGGGTGCCAAGAAGGCTCGCACTGCACGCAAAGAAAACTTGACAGATTTTGAGCGTTTCTCGATCGAGATGGCGCGCCGTCAGCTGTCTGCGAAGCACTGAGATCCTTTGCCAGCAGAGTGCGATCAGACGCCGCGCGCATCAGTTTTTCGTCTTGACGCTGGAGCATCTACGTGAGTAACTGCTGTTTGCTTTCCTACCTTTCTGCGCTACTGGGCACGCGGCTCTGTCGATGTGCTGGCAGCAGTGTCTCAGAGGTCTGCTATCGAGTAGCGGTGTGGCGCGGAGCGCAGCCAACTTTTCAGCGATGCGACGAATACGCATTGCGCGCCGCGGCGCTGCATTCCGCGGCGCCATGTTCACTTCATTGTCTATCGCCACTTGCTCTACAATTTCGTTCCACTCATTCAGCGTTATGTGTTCGAGCTGCAGTCCTTCGTGTTTTAGTTGGCAGCACGCAATGAACAGTGCTTTGTCGAGCACTTCGAGCGCTTCAATGCCACTCTTGTTCTGCAGCACTAGGCGCACTTCTTCGGAGTCGAACATGCATTCGGTGCGGCGTGCGCACCTCGTTGCGGAGTTTTCATGTTAATTTGCAGCAATCTGTAATAATGGTTTGTGTTATTTTCCAGTTTTATGTTCCTATCAGCAATCAAAATTAGTGTTCGCGGCGCTAAGTCCAGGCGATCACGCTGATTGTAGTTTCCAAGGCGCATGGATTTGAGTTTGCGGTTTTTGTATGACAAGGTTCGAGACTACATCCATCCGATCGGAAAGCAAAATGTCAGTTTTGCAAATTTGCTCAAGGGCAAGCTGCTCATCAAACACATCCAGTTCAAGCCCGAGTTTGTCGAACAGTTTTTGGACTTGCCCGTGTCGCTCGAGTTCCAGTACGTGGGCAGTTTGGAAATCTCGCTGCCTATCTGGAATTTTTTCCGGCGACCAATTGAGGTCAAGGTCAGCGACGTCATCATGCTCTTTTCGCTGCACGCAGTTTACGAATGGGACAAGGAACGTTGGACTGCGAACTTCCGGCGCAAAAACGAGGCGGCGTTGACAAATCACGAACGACGCATAGTGTCCAGGCATGTTGGTAACGGTTTATTATTGCGCCTGGCGATCAAGTTATTTGGGGGCATTAAAGTCAGGTTGCAGTCGCTGCATGTGCGTTTCGAAGATATGCACGGCTCGTTGAAGCAATACTCCGCCTACGGCTTTTCGCTCGGCGAGTTGGCGATAGATAACGTGGCGGCGCCCGCTCCGTCTTACTTGAAGTGGTTCAGTCGCAGAACGCTGTCGCACGAAGATACAGAGCGGGAACGCGAAGCCTGCTATGACTTGAGAACAACTTCCTCTTCTGTGGTCAAAAATATAAGTTTGAGCAATTTGAACGCGTACTGCGACGAGCTGATATTTTTAAAGTCGCGCGCGGCCCCATCGGAGGCAAAGATTTGCACTCTTGAAGACCCCTGCAGAGAAATTATAGTGCATAAGGATGTCATCAAGCAGAACGGATGCTTCGTACATCCCGATTTTTACGTGGATGATGTGAGCTATCGAGTTCGTTCGCAATTCGATGCCAACTTTGACTTAATTATCGGACAACGCGCCGAAGCTTTCGGCTCTAGTTTCGAGAACCATCCGGGCAAGCCAGGACCGGCAGCACCGGCGGATGCCTCGAGCATTTATCAAGCCGAGCGTAAAACGCTACGCAGTTTGCTGTATGCCAAACGCGCTCTGGGCTTGGTGTACGCTATTGACGGACGAATTCCGTACAAAGACTTTTTGTGCTCAATGGTTAAGGTCTTCGTGTACAACCGCAAAACGTCTACCTACAGCGAGGTAACTGAAAACTTCGTGACGAACAGCAACATGAAGTCGTACTACAGTGTCCTGATTCAAAGGAATCGCGACATGCTTTTAGTTCCGAACGACTTCGAGGACGCAGCTGCGATGAGCGTAATTCAATGCCTTTCGCACGAAAGGACAAATGCAATTCTTAATTCACACTGCATCTTTCTGCAGGTCGATGAGACAAAACTAGACCAGATCGGAGAGTTGTTGCGAAGGCTGAATAGCGCACATCATGACTTTATCATTGAGAACTACTCCTGCTCGATGCAGCTTCAAATTGACTTGGCGGCACTCGACCTGAAACAAAGGAACCATCTGATCAAACACTCTGGAACTTTCGAAAATCTTGCTGACAACGCTGAGCTGCTTCAGCCATTGTTTGAGTTAAGTGCTAATTTGCGCAACCTCAGAATTGACTTGGACAGCGCTACGCTGACGCGTCTGCTCATTTTGCATAAGAAGATCGAAGATTATTCACTCTATACCCGGTTGATCGAGGCGAACGCTCGGAAGAAAATTGCTAACGAGTGGGAAATTCGTCTATATCAGCTGTGCTGGTTGTTTAAGCTCGCGCAGTCTAAGAACTACCAAGATACTACTGGTGTCATGCCGGAGGTCATCAGTCAGTTTTTGAACGAGTTAGAAAGCAGTATTACAGCGACAAGTATCATTGCAGCGCGCGACAGCATCATTAGTATGCTGTGTAACGGTACGCAGGCTGGCTTCGATCAGGCCTTTCTGTTTTGCAGCGGCGGTTCAGACTTTAGCAAAACGAATTTATGTCTCAATGGTTCTTTGCTAAGCCAGCTTTGCGCTCCTTACACTGAGCACATCAACAGCGATTCGCGTCTTCGCACGATAGCTGAATACCTTGCGGATAGTTGTAACAATGTTTCAATCGTCATAAACGATGACATCTTCAAGCCGGTTTTCAACTTCGACCTACGACTGAAGAACTGTTTCATGTACAGTGCGTTCTCGAGTTCAGACACCTTTTGCGCGCATTTGGATTCGTTAGAAGTGAATTACACATTTAGCGAAGATCTGCTGCAGCAGAAGCTAATTTTCAGCCTTGGCAGCTGCGCTGTGTTCATTATAAAGAACGAATGGAGCTATTATGCAACGGATTTGCTGCAAAGCTCGGATGCGCGCGGAGAAGCTGCTGAGGTTGAAGAGGGCATCGAAAAGTGCAATATGAAAATCTTCTGCGCGACTGGGCGCGCTGACTTCTTCGACAGTTCAATTTCGCTTATCAAGAACGTAAACGAGGAATCAGAGTCAGTGAGCGGTTTTTCACTGCTTACGCTGATACGAAGTAACACGACCATTACAGCATCGGCCACTCTAGGCGACGGTCGTCTGGAGCTTACGCTCGGCGCTGGCAACGAAACGAAGGATTCGCCGCTGCGCAGCACAGGAATTGTAATGAACGTAGAACCTATGCAACTCCTGGAACTTGCAGGTCACTACCTTGATCCCTTAATGTTACTGTCATATACAGACTGGTTCAGATTTGCAAGCATCCTAGCTATGTTTCCAATCGAAAACCGCGACTTGTACAACAGCTTGGACTGGCTTCGCGCACAGTTTGTATATTGCAACTTTGAATCGATTAGCTATGTTGTTCACTTCGACAGTTCGACGGAAGTTCGACTTGTGCACGAATCCGATTACATTGCGCTGGTATTGTCGCAGATTACTATGATGTCGGACGAAGCGTTGGAAGTGGCAGAGATTAGCGTTGTTCGGAAGCACCAAAACCCCGTCAACGTTTTTGAGCAGACTGCCGGTCCTGAGAGTGCAGTCATTTCTCAATTCCGCAAGCTTAACTCGCTCGCTTACTTCGATCAGGATGCCTCTGATCCGAAGACTCGTTTGTCGGACGGATATGAGCTGGCTAAAGCGTTTAGTGTAACCGACTATACTTGCGGATCTATGGTGCTAAAGCCTTTCAATTTGTTTGTTTCATTTGAGAACTCAAGTGTAAAGATATCAAAGCTGCAAATGGACGTTAACTTATTCGACCTCGCGCTCATAGCGAACTCGCTCAGTTGTATAGTGCAGCAACAGAAGCTGGTGATGAAGTTGCAGAGCTTGCTCACCGCATTAGCAAACAGCGATATGCAGAAGTCCTTGTGGGTCACCATGTACAATCAGTTACTCAGCAGCGGATGCTTTGCGGACCAGCTTCACCCTGTGTACAGGAAAGAAATCTACGAATATTTGCAGCGCAATGCCGGTGACGATAAATCAGATGTAGACGCGATGTGTCCTGCGTTTTCTCAAAGCGCATGCGAGGGTGCTGCTGAAGTGAACGAGAACAGCGCTAGCGACAACTGCAAATTTTCGCGTAGAGCCCGTTCGCAAGACGCTTTGCAAGATCTTGTTCAAACGACGGTCAATGAAGTAGTAGATGAATTGTACAGCTCGCAGGGTACGGTAAAGACGTCATTGCAGAAGAGCGAAGCTCGCTGCATTAACGCTTTGTATTTGGAGGGCATTTTCGTAACTGTCTCCGTAACGCCGCTGCTAAATCTGCAATCCATTACAAAACTGGAAACTAGCACGAACAACAAGAAAGATCTAGATCCTTACGCTTGCCAAAGCTCGGTAAACGAATTAGACAGCTCTGCTTCGCAGCAGAGTGGTGATATTGCGGTTGTGTCGCTTTGCCTCAGTGACATTGCATTAGAGGTCGACGAAAGAGAGTTAAGAAGTTTGTGTCGCAACTTCGCCTTCAGCAATGATCCGCTTACGGAGAAACCATTAGTGTCGCTCAGTATTCGTAGCATTAAAGTGTTGGAAGAGTGTTTGCTGAATCCTTTAGGTTTTGATGCGATATACGCGCCGTACAAAAGCTGCCACACGGCGAACCATTTCAAGTACGAAATCCTGTACGACCGGTCACGAGCCGAACAGTCATCTGGCGTGATGCACCATGTGCTCGAGCTCAGTCCCTTCTCTCTCTACTTGGACTACGATTTCCTGTCGGTGTTATTTGAGTGTTATTTGTGCCTATGCAGTCTGCTTGATGTGAGTGCGTTTCGCGGAAGCTATGACATGGAAATCGACGGAGAAAGCGACGCAGCGACGACTGAACGTAAGCCGACCTACTTCGACACTTTCAGGTACGAACTAAATTGTTTGCGCGACAATAGCAGCAGATGGACGTCTGGTGAGAAGACGGTTGCGAAGCAGATTGACGTGCTGTGCGTACTGGAGCGCTGCTACATAGTCGTGCCAACGCAGCCGAAAAAGTTGTTGTTGTCTGCCAACCAGAATTACTTGTTTACTGCGGTGTCTTCGTTGAAGGATATCACAAACCTTCCGAAAACCGTCGAATATCCGCAGTGTTGCGTCTTCCGGTTCGATCTATCGTTGTCGGCGAATTTGTACCGATACAATGAGCGCTTCTGTTTGCACACCTCGCACTATCACAGAATAATGCATGCTGACCTGTTTCCGTCGTACCTGGCTGTCGAGTCAGCCGTGTTTCATTTCCAAGGAAACAATTCCTTTTGGAAGTACGTCATTCCTTCGAATATCACTTTCAACTGCTGCGCCAAAGACGTTGAACTATATCTACTGAAACCAACAGCGCGTTCGCTGTTCGGTCGCTGTCAATTAGACAAACCGAGCAGCGTCACGCAGATGAGTGCTGGCGTGTATAGCATGATACTGTCCACGTCTTGCATTAGTGCAAATTTGGATTTAGGATTGCCGGACGAGCGCACACTGTTCGAGCGACTTTACGGCTTTACCGGGAACGAAGCCGCAGGCCCTCGCAGTCTGTTTAATATTCACGGAATAACGCTGCCGATTTATGCGAAGTTTGACGTAAGCGTGCTGAGCCGACTCAATATCAGTTTGGAGCAGCGCAGCTTGGCTACGCTGATCTGCTTGTACGTGATTTATTCGTCTTTTTTCGAAGGCGCGTCGCGTACCTTGGGAAAGTTGGATGAGTTCTACAACTACACTTTCACTAATCAAACAATTCAGTTCTTAAACGAGAAGCGTTCCAAAAACAGCGTACGCGTGACGCACGAGTCTAAGCTGTGCGAGCGCCTACAAAAGCGGTACTATAACATTTTGCCGAAGGATAAGTTTCAGTATCTCGACTGGATTCGCGAAAATGGTTCTATCAAAAAGTTAGACTTCGGCCGCTGCGTATACAATCTGCTGATTTCTGCAGACAGTGTCGAGGCGAAGCTGAATGTTTTCGAAGTGCATCTTGAGCTATTTCGAAATCTTTGCAGTCTGTACAGCCATGACTTGGAGGCCAGTGTCCTCTTTAACGGCGTCGACTCTTCGAGCATTTCGATTGACTGCTGGATGCAGTCGGAGCAGAAACACGAGCTACAGACAGACGACGATGAGTCGATTTCATTCGAGGTTAGTCAAGCAGAAGAGGCAGACGGATCTTTCTACGAATTTCAGGACAGCCAGCAGTATAACGGCGCTATACTAAAGGCAGCTAAAGCGTGTTATAGTGGCGGAAAGGTTTTGTACCAAGCGCTGCGCAACAAGCTGGGAGCCTTCCGCTCGAACTCTCATCAGCTAAATCACTTCAAGAGCAAGTTCAGCTCCGTAGGAGAACGCAGCTCTGCGAAAAACTGGCTCACCTGCGCGTGCAACATGGAGCTTTCTTCCAGCGGCCTTTTTGAGCCGTTCAAGGTCACGGTTTCCGGCAGCAAGCTCAACTCGCTGTCAACGCTGTATTTAACATCGGACGTGACCTGGATCAACTTGCTGTTTGACTCCAACATGTTGCGAAAGTACATTTCCGCTTACTACAAAGTGGTCGACATAGAGTTTGCTCGGTACATCAAAGAGTGCTCGCTCCGTGAGAGTGAAAACTACATAGCGTTGTGGCGTTTGAACAACTTCAACAAGTTGCAGTCTGCGAAGTGCCGAGACCGGGTGAGGGCTGCGCTGGCTCACGGATTGTTGTTTGCGTCGTTCCGCTACAATTTCTTCTACGAGAGCGGCGAGGTGCACTACCGAAAGCTGTGTTTCGACGTTTCTCGGACGCTATCGCTGTTTTTGAGCACGACGTATGCGAATAATAAGACGAAGCTGGACAAAGATCGCGACTCGCAAAGGAATCGATGTTTAAGCGGATACTCTGCGAAAACGCTGGATACCGATATTGCAAAGCTTGACGTAGAGCAGCGGTTCGCGCACGTATCGTTGGTTTCAGATCTCGAGATCGTGCTAATTCTTGAGCTGGACAAAAGCTACACGCTCGAGCCAGAGTCGCCGCAAGAGTTACCGCTGATGGAGATCAGCGCAGTGCGGATGCAGATTTCGAATCCGGGCGTGAGTTTGGGCTACGCTGACAATAAACTGAAGGACGCTTTAAACTTTACGTTCAATTCGAACGAAGAGCGAGCGCTGCAAGATGTCGATTTGCACATTCCGTTCGAATTGAGTTTTGACAATCGCACGATCAGAGCCTTTATTCGGGTCGAGCGCAAACAGGGGGACGCAGGGCAAGTGAATTGCAAAATATCGGTGCTGAACGGATTGGTGCTGCAGGTTTCGCAGGCTTCAGTCGACGTTGCGGTGAGTGCGACGAACGTTGCGACTGGCCGAACCACGCTACTGAAAATGATTTCCGCGACGCCGCACGAGCTGTCGGAGGAGACCAGCGGCGAGATTCGAGCAAGTAGATCACAAAGCTGCTTCAGCAAGAATATGCTGAGTAACCGCTCGTGGGATCAGCTAGGCAAGGAGCTCGTGTCAATCCCGTTTGCGACGTTGCTGGACGAGCGGGTGAATCTGTATGCAAACGAGATGCTGATCATGAAAAGCGAACAGCTATCGTTCTTGGCATTTATTCTAGACCAGGCGTACCAAGAGTCGAACAATTCGAGCCTGGAGCCGTTGCTTAAGGAGCTGACCTCTGCGGACTGCGGCGCATTCACTCTGTCTTACGGCTTCGGTTTGTCGAGATGTTCAAGGGTTACTGTGCTGGTGGCGTCTCTGATGCCGAGCTGCATCATTCGCAACCGATTGCCGGACGAACTAACTTTGTCGTTTGGCGCACATCCGGCACTGCAGGCGAACGCAGGCCTGTCGCGGTTTAAGGTGAGCTCGGCGCTGATCGAAGAAGAAAAGGACTCGCAAAGCGCGACTACAATTAAGCCTGGGGAGGACTTCGGAATTTGCATTTTCAGGCCGCTGCTGAAATGGAAGTACGAAGACTTCGAGTCTGTATACACCAACATTCCGGTGACCGACACCGACATTTACCTTGACCGCCATTTTAACTCGCAGGCTCCGTACTTCTCGGTCGTCGCGCCGGAAAACCAGGAAAAGTACTTGCGCCGGTCGCTGAAGCTGCAAATCATGATATCCGCACTCGAGGACGATTCGGTCGTGGAGAACTTCGTAATGCTGCGCGGCGAGTCGCGCGCGCGGCTGTTCACGGTCTACAGCCGCTTTTGGATCTCGAATTGCTTGACGCAGACGATTTACTACAAAACGAACGTGCTGTACTGCTTGGCGCCGAACGAAATTTGCTTGTTTTCTCAGGACTATCCTTTCCCGCGGTTGGGTGTGCGCACGGGGCAAAGCGGCGTGACCGAGAAAACGGACACGGCCGACGTGCTGCCGAAGTTCTACCGAACGCGGAAGGCCCGGAAACGCGACGAGAAGTGGTACTCGTGGTTCCGAAAGGAGTACGTGTTTAGTAAACGTATTTGGAACCGCGACAACAAAATAAACCACGTGCACATTCCGGCTACGAACGTGAACGAGCCTCGGTCTGTGGTTATGTACCAAGAGCAGTCCAGCCGGCTGTTCAGACTGACGACGGTGGTGATGTGCATGCCTGCGTACGTCGTGTGCAATTTCACGACACACTGCATCTACATCCGCGAAGTTGCGAAGCCGCGGCTTAGCTGTTCCGTTGTTGCGGTGAGGCCCAATGCGTACGTGGAGTTTCACCCGCACCAAGACTCAAAGACGCTGGCAGTGCAGTTCACGCACTCGGATTCAGCGGTCAAGCAAT